AGTGCACGTCACTTTCCCTCCTTATGACCTTTCTTTTTCTGGACAACAACAACATTAGCTAGCCAGTCAGGAAATTTTACCTCTTTTACCTTGCCGGTCCGAAGCAGTGTATCGACTTCTTGATCTATAATTGCATTCCTTTCTTTGGCGAAGCGTCTCTTTTTTTGCCTAACGAGCTTGTGCAATGGGCTGACGTTTAACCTGTGAGTTATGATATTAGGATCGATACCTATCATATCGTCGTGACTCCATGCAAACACGTCTTTGTATTCTCTGAGAAATTCCACTAGCCCGCTTTTGAGGTGTTCCAGCATGTTCTTTCCGATTCAGATGACTCTCCCTGGATGTTCAGGATCAATGGCAATTCCTTCTGTTCTGTCATTATCCTCTTCCAGAGTAGAGCAACCCTTTAGTTGTTATGTTGAAGTTGATTGCACTGTTATTGACTTCATAGCAACTTGGTAAAACGATTTTGCTGTTCTTTGGTCTCCTTGAATGGCCAGTACTCCCCATGGCGTTGGGAATTTGATGGCTTGGTGGTAAGTCGATGAGACGACCCCCATTTGGTGCAACCATGGAGTTCCCAGAATCATGTTGTAAGCTGGCAGGTCTTGTACTACATCGAATTTGACCTTCAAATTAAGTCCATGGGCATATACGGGCAGAGATATGTTACCTATAGTCCGACTGGGTTCTCCGTTGAATCTGACAAGGGTTGAGCCGGAATCCGTCATGTCTTCATCCTTGATTCCCATTTCCTTGAGCATCTTCAATGTTGTAATATTCGCGGTGCTTCCATTGTCCACCAAGACTCGCTTGACCTCACAGTTGGCCACTCGTAGGGAGATGAGCAACGTGTCATGATGGGGTTGTGTTTGATCAGGAACTTCCGTTTCGTCAAAGGTAATTGACGCCTTCCTCCAGTCCTCCTGACGTTTCTCAACCCTGCATACCTGAAATGACTTGTCTCGGGAATAATCCCGAGCGTGTCTCTTTGCTGCAGAATATGTTAGCCCGCATAAATCAGATCCGCCATTAATAAAGTTAATTACCTTACAGGGGGCCGAAGGCGAAGGAGGATGTGGTTCCGTCGGTGACGCTTTGACGTCCCGTCCCAACAGCGACTTAGTATGCTCAGACATTATTTCCGTCAGATACCCATTTCTCAGCAAATATGCCACCTCCTTTCATAGTGCGACGCAGTCTTCAGTGTTGTGCCCGATGTCGTTGTGAAAGTCGCAACGCTTGTTTGGGTCACGACGACCCGTTGGTTTGTCAATCTTCTTGGGCCATCGAACTTTTTCTCCTAGCTTTTCCAAAGAATGAATGAGCTCTGGAGTGGTAACACTAAAGCAGTAGTCATCGATGACGGGTGGCAAGTCTGGATCGTCGAGCCAACTTGTTGACGAAACCGGCCTGTCTTCAGTTCTGGCATAGGGCTTTCCGGTTCTGTAATCACGCTTCCTGGATGTGCTTGACTTGCGCTGCCCCCCATCATATGTGTTCTGTAGATGTCGCGACTGCTGGTCCTCTTCATGTCTGATGAAGGCCAGAGGTTTGGCCTGGACGTCCTCGAAGGTCCTGTATGGGTACTTCGTCAGCTCCCGGTATAGTTCTCATTCGTCGGCCAAACCTCTCCTAAATGCCTCAATTGTTGTTGGAATGTCGCACCGGGGAATTGATACCTTCTCCTTGTTGAACCTGTGTAGATAATCCCTTAGCGATTCGCCTCGACGCTGCGTGACTCTATAAAGGTCACTAGTTTGCTTCTCAAGTACTCGATTGCTAGCAAACTGATGATTGAACGAATCGCCTAAGTCTGCAAACGATACGATGCCCTCATTAGGCAGATTGACAAACCACTTTAGTGTCGGACCTGCCAGCGTTGCTCCGAAACCCAGGCACATGCACGCTTCCCTTTGATCAGGCCGGAGTGATACGGCGAGCATCCGTTGTTTGTACTGCGCGACGTGCTCTACTGGGTCGGACGTGCCGTCAAACATCTTCATTGATGGAGCGGCGAACTTGCGTGGTATTTCAACATCTGTAATCTGCCTGCTGAAGGGAGAGTCCGCGTAACATGTCTACGAAGCTCGATCTAAAGGGGGGGAGGGGTACTCCTGGTAATCCGTTGATTTTGTCTTGCATTTTCCGTAGCTGGTCCATTATCATTGATATTGGATCTGGCAAGTCCGGTTGGATGCATTTTGCTGTCGAAACTGTCAGTCCCGCCATCTGGGTCACCTCGGGACGGGTTGGTGATGGAATAACTATGACCTCCGGACGTTGCTCTCCACAACTTTGACCCGTTTAAATGATGGGTCTATGCCGTTGTTGCGTCTGAAACCCAGGCGGCATATCCCGTTGATGGCTCTGGGTGAAGTTGGGAAGACCGGGCTCTATACGAGGTATGCTCTTGTAGTGGGGGATGGAAGGCTCCGTTGGTGCTGATATCCTCGGGGCCATTGGAAGGCTTTGAGTGACCGAGTGCAATCATGTCGTTCTGGGTCCGGAACGAAGGGACTTCGGGAAGAAGCAAGTTGGTATGCTTTGGACAGGAGTCGTCACAGGGAAGAGCGGTGTGTATGGTATCACTTGAGAATTGACGGTGGACTATGACTCTCTGGCGGGTGAGAGGCCCAATGTGAGCGAGATGGGCTCGGTAGTGATGATGGGTGGATCCGACGCTGCCGGAGTGGACTCCAAATCCAATCTTGTTACGACGGGCATGCGGCCGTTTCTCCGGTTTCCCCTAGAGTTAGATGCGATTGATACTGCCGATTGGACCTGGGACTGGAGTAGGTCATTTTCGCGCTGGAGATGTGTCATCCGCTCCGCCACTTCCCGGTGAATTTCTTGTTTAGCTGCCTCCAGTTGAGCGTGGAACTCCATCAACAGAGGATTGTTTTCAGCCATGTTCAATGATTATCTTCTTGCACGATGCCCCACGGTGGGCGCCAGATTGTTTAAGCAAGAGAGCACATATTTCTTATAACAATCAAATGAAAATATTGGGGATCGTACAAGATAATTTCTGGAAATAAATGGATGAATTTAATAATGGAACAATAAAACTGATTGATGATAATTATCAAGAAGACAATGAACAATTCTGTTCGCAATAGTAAGGATGCTTTTGAGCTAGTAAAAACAGAATGAATGCCCTTCTTCCTAAGTAGAATGCTGTTTAAATTCTATTCTTCGTTGCAACTACTCCTCCAAAATAGGCGGACTCCTTCAGCTTGACCGCAATCGCCTTTCTTTTCCTCCATGTTTCTAGAGCTTATCCATTCTGCCTCTCTTCCCTTGGCTGGGCTCTTTTGACATCCGTTCTTATAAGAAAAAATTCCACTTTTAGTCCCATGAGTATTATACCACTTCCACATTTAGTCCCTTACTTTCAGATTATCCACATTTAGTCCGTGACCATTATCCCCTCACCACTCCTCGTCTTTCCGGCCAAAATTCCGGCAAATTTAATGCAAATTTTAGGTATGAAAAACCAAATTTAATGCAAAGACTGATATCAAAAACCCAACCTTATATAAAATTTAATGCAAAGACTGATTCTAAGGCTGATAAGTGGACTAAATTTGCCAGAATTTTGGCCCAAAGGACGAGGGGTGGTGAGGGGATAATGGTCACTGACTAAATGTGGACAATCTGAAAGTAGGGGACTAAATGTGAAAGTGGTATAATAGTCATGAGACTAAAAGTGGAATTTTTTCGTTCTTATAAACTGCTGTGGGCCGCACTAATTGGTTAACTCTCTAGACCCAATTGAGAGTTTGCTTTGCCAGGCCTAACAATAGCCGGGTATTTTTGTAATATACCGTGTCTGCAGCCGTTGACGGGAAGAAAAGAGCCGAGTCGTTTCTAGCTCTGTTGATCGAATCTGCATGCCTGGGAACTGCGACGAAGCTCCGCATAGTTCTCTTATAATCTAAACCCCACTCACCAGGCAAATTATACCGTGGGATCGACCCACCATGTGCATGGTGTGCCGATCCCAAAACGACGGCGTTTTATATTAATTAAACCAGATCAGAGCTGACAAAAAATTCATCGTCTTCACTGGCCGTCTAGCATATGCTTTGTCCCTGCGGCCAAAAATTCAATTGCTACCTGCTGAATGGAATTCCGAATTGAGATCCAGTCGGATGCCCTTGTGTATCACCGACGATGATGACGGTGCTAAAGTATAAAATATAAATATTATTAACTCTTGTATTTATCCATCCGGCCTGGTGTGTTTATCTGTACACCTGCTTGTATTTATCATATGTAACAAACCCAAGTGTACAGCCTACTATTTAGGATCTAGCAACTACTCTCACGTGAGTATATGTGTACATGGCTATATATACATAGCAGACCATTCAATGAATAATAAGATAAATCATTCATCCTGCTTAATACTTGTATTTGCTTCATGGTATCAGAGCCTGCAATTCATTGAATTGCTTCGGTCATTTTTTTTCTTCTTTTCTCAAACGGGAGACCATGCCAATAGCTCATCTCATTCTGCTGGTGTTATTCCTACGAATAACTCTCCCACCCCACAATTAATCTCCTTAAATGCCTCATCTCAAATTCCAATTAAACTTTCCAATGATGGAAGCAATTACTCATCATGGAAATCTCAAATGACTAATCTCCTCTTTGGCTACGACCTGCTAGGCTATGTCGATGGTTCTACTCCATGTCCTCATAAATCTGCACCTAATCTCAGCTTCTGGAATCGTAAGGACCGCCTTGTTCTCCTGGCACTTCAATCAACGGTTTCTGGCCCGGTAGGCCCCATCATCAATAGCTGCCAGACCTCAGCGGAAGCATGGGAGAAACTTGAATCCAGCTTTGCCAATACATCCATCACCAGGATGCTCTCAGTGCACAACAGCCTAGCCACCACAAAGAAAGCTGGAAAATCCGTTACAGAATACATGGGAATTATGGAAGGGTTAGTTGATGATCTTGTCACTATTGGTCACCCCGTCTCATCCGGCCAAGTCATGTCATATGTTCTTAATGGATTTGGGCAAGAATATAAGGAAACAATTTCTGCTCTCCGAATTCAGCCAACGCCTCTCACGCTTTCCACCCTTCGTCATCATCTCCAACAAGCTGAAATTCTGGCCGGTGACAACCCCGACACCTCTATATCTGTCCAGTACTCTCAACGGCGAAGCAACAATTTCTCTCGTGGCAGAGGGGGCAGAGGTCGCGGTCGACACACCTCCTCCAACCCAAATCCTCATCAACACGGATTTGGTTCTCAAGCAAGCAACTCTCGTTCAACCGTCATCTGCCAACTTTGTGACAAACATGGTCATACGGCACGCACTTGTTACAACCGTAATACTCCTTCTGTTAATATGACAGACAAATCACCAAATGCAGAGGCAAATGCAGGATGGCTTCTAGATACCGGTGCCACACATCACGTTACCTCGGATCTGAACAACCTGGCTATTCACTCAGACTATTCTGGCAATGACTCTGTTATCATGGGAGATGGTAATCCTATTCCAATCTCACATATGGGTTCCACAGATATTGTTTCATCCGATTCTACATTTACTCTTAATAACGTTTTGCATGCACCAAAAATCCATCGTAACATTATTTCTGTTAGCCAGTTCTGCAAAAACAATAATACCTCCATTGAGTTCTCACCCGATTCTTTTGTTGTGAAGGATCTAACCACAGGGGCATCCTTGGCCCGCGGCCGGAGTAAAAACAATTTATACATATGGCCAGAACAACCATCTCCACTCGTGTCTCATATCTCTTCCAACATATGGCATCAACGCCTTGGTCACCCAACTCTCTCAGTCCAGAATCGCATTCTTTCATCAAATAAAACGCATGTTCGTCAAGACAAGTTCCCGTGTCAACCATGCCTTCAAGCCAAGAGTCATAAATTACCTTTTCATAAGTCTACAATAAATTGTAATCATCCGTTTGAGTTTATTTTTTCTGATGTTTGGGGTCCAGCTCCCATTTCTGCTATTCATAATACTAAATTCTATGTCATCTTTGTTGATTATTACACAAAGTACTCTTGGTTATTTCCTCTCAAACATAAATCTGAAGTTTATTCTGTTTTTAATAATTTTCGTGCACTCATTGAAAATTATTTTAAAACCACTATTAAAACCTTGTATACCGACGGCGGCGGGGAGTTTACTGCACTCACACCCTTATTATCCCACCATGGCATACAACATCTTAAATCACCACCCTACACACCCGAACATGTCGGCTCTGCCGAACGCAAACACTGACATGTCATTGAAACTGTTTTAGCACTCATACTTCAAGCTAAGGTTCCCCTCTATTACTGGCCGTATGCCTTTAAACATGCCACTTATCTTATCAACTGCATGCCCACTCCTACTCTCCAAAATGATACCCCTTATCACAAATTATTTGGGGATATGCCTGACTATTCCTCTCTAAAAGTATTTGGATGTTTATGCTATCCCTGGATGCGCCCCTATACCAAACATAAACTTCAACCTCGGTCTGAACCATGTGTATATCTTGGTTTTTCTACCACCCACCATGCTCATCAATGTTTACATCCTCAAACCCGTCGTATATATCTCACTCGCCATGCACTTTTCATTGAAAAATATTTTCCATACAATTCCCCAAATTCCCAACCTCCCTCCTCTGACTATAGCCATAGTCTACGTACCTTTATCTCTCAGCTGAAATCCATGCCTTTATCAGTATCACCTACTGCCTTGGCCAACCCATCTTCAACCGATAACACCATTTCCCATTCCACTGTCATCCCGCTTCCATCTCAGGTTCCCCAGCCAGTCTCCACCCCACACAATCCTACTACCTCATCTCTCACACCCACACATTCACCATCACCTTCTACTATCCATTCTCCTTTTTCAGAACACTCACCCTCCCCTCCCACCTCAGCGTCCACGCCGTCGGTATCACCCAGCAGTTCCACTTCAGTACCCAACCCACCTCCGGTCCAGCCCCACAGACCAGTCACTCGTTCTCAGAACCACATTGTCAAACCCAATCCTAAGTATAATTTCCATACCACTACCTCTTCCATTCCTGTAGCCCCCACGTCCTACAAACAAGCATCCTCACATCCTGAGTGGCGTCAAGCCATGATGGATGAGTATGCTGCCCTTGAGAAAAACAACACTTGGTCACTAGTTCCCCCGTCTCCTCTGCAAAACGTTATAGGATGTAAATGGGTGTATCGGGTCAAACAAAATCCAGATGGTTCTCTTGCTCGCTACAAAGCACGGCTCGTTGCAAAAGGATTTCATCAACGCCCAGGGGTTGACTTTACTGACACATTCATTCCGGTTGTAAAACCGGCAACTGTCCGCCTAGTTCTCACTCTTGCTATTATACATTGTTGGCCTATTCGCCAACTCGATGTGAACAACGCTTTTTTGCAGGGTACCTTATCTGACAAGGTTTATATGCAGCAACCTCCAGGCTTTATTAACAAAGCTTATCCTCATCATGTGTGTCTTCTCCGAAAAGCGTTATATGGACTTCGTCAAGCACCTAGGGCTTGGTACTGTGAGCTCAAAACCTATCTGTTGCAGTTTGGTTTTCTCAATAGCCGCAGTGATACCTCTTTATTTATCTACTCTTCTGGCAGCACACTATTATTCTTGCTTGTATACGTCGATGATATAATTCTTACTGGGAACGACTCTAGGTTTCTGGAATCCTTTATATCAGCATTAACAGGTCGCTTTAGCCTTAAAGACCTTGGCTCTCTATCTTACTTTCTTGGTCTTGAGGCTTCACGGACCTCCAGCGGCTTATTTCTCACCCAACACAAATACATCTCTGACCTACTCTCACGAACGGGCATGAACTCGGCTGCACCCACACCAACTCCAGTGTCTCCAAATGATTCTCTCTCTCTCTGGTTGATGCATCATCTCCTCATGATGCAACTGAATATCGGAGTATTCTTGGTGCTCTTCAATATTTGTCCTTTACTCGGCCTGATATCAGTTTTATAGTTAATAAACTTGCTCAATTCATGCACTGTCCGACTACAAAACATTGGCAAGCTGTGAAGAGGGTATTACGCTACCTTCGTGGTACTGCTAATTTTGGCATATTCATCTCTGCTAAGACTCCTTTCTCTCTTCATGCTTTTGCCGATGCTGATTGGGCGGGGGATTCTGACACACGCCGCTCTACTTCTGCATATGTTGTGTTTATTGGATCAAACCCCATTAGTTGGAGTTCCAAAAGGCAAGCCACTGTTGCACGCTCATCCACGGAGGCCGAATATCGTGCCATCGCCTCAGTATCTGCTGAATTAGAATGGCTTCGCAACCTCCTTTCTGAGCTTCATTTTCCACTACGCTCGGCTCCAACAGTGTTCTGTGATAACTTAAGTGCCACTTATGTATGTGCAAATCCTGTTTTTCACTCGCGAATGAAACACGTTGCCATTGACTTTCACTTTGTTCGTGAACAAATTCAAAAAGGTCAACTGCGTGTCACACATGTTCATACTCAGGATCAACTTGCTGACTCTCTCACCAAGCCACTTGCTCGACAATTATTTCAATCTCATCGCTCCAAGCTTGGTATTCTTCCCAGACCACCTCGCTTGCGGGGGCATGCTAAAGTATAAAATATAAATATTATTAACTCTTGTATTTATCCTTCCGGCCTGGTGTGTTTATCTGTACACCTACTTGTATTTATCATATGTAACAAACCCAAGTGTACAGCCTACTATTTAGGATCTAGCAACTACTCTCACGTGAGTATATGTGTACATGGCTATATATACATAGCAGACCATTCAATGAATAATAAGATAAATCATTCATCCTGCTTAATACTTGTATTTGCTTCAGACGGCTCCTTTTGTCGCGAGAGCTATGCTGCTGTCTACTCACTCGATCATCCAACAAAAGTAAAGAGCATCCCACTAATTAAATTGATACATCTACGGAGTATTTGAGGAGAAGGAAAGATGCAAATTTTATATAGAGTATGTGTATATATTTATTATACAACTTACAATTTGATTTGGTTCAACTTATATTTTTATTAACGTAATTTAATTTTCTATTTATCTCAAGTTAATATACCTTGTTTATATTGAGTTTGTTTTTAGAGGTTTTTAAGGTATTAAGTTTGTTTATTTTGATTCTTGGAGTTACATTTGATAATATACGAAGTTACATTTTCTTATGCTCGAGTTACATGTTATTATGCGTGAGTTACATCTTATTATGCGTAAGTTACATCATTTTTTATGCGAGTTACATACTTTTATGCTCAAGTTACATCTAATTATGTGTGAGTTACATCTTGTTTATTTGCAATTTTTTACTTATCTTTATCTTTAACTAATTAAATTACAACTAGATTTTTTTAATACCAATTTATTACAAAAAATTATTAATGCACATAAAATAAGTATATTGTATTTTATAATCACAAAATAAAAAAACTTTTTTAAAACCGATTTTCTTTTGCAAAAAAAATATTTTTTGGGGAAAAAATAATTTCCCCAAAAATAATTGATACATATTTTTACACGTAAAGTTACATATTTGTACACTTAAAGTTACATAATTATAGACACGAGTTGCATTTGACCTGTCTGAACGCGAGTTACATATTTTTTTACGTAAAGTTACATATTTTTGTACGTAAAGTTACATATTTTTACACGTAGAGTTACATATTTATACACACGAGTTGCATTTGGCCTGACTGAACGTGAGTTACATATTTTAACACGTAAACTTACATAGTTTTACACACAAATGTTAATATGTTAATAATTACATAGACAATATTGGTCTCATTTGAAAGATCATGAAAAATAAAAAATTTTGATATAAATTTTATAAAAATCGAATCAAAAATAAAAAAATTATTAATTTTTTTAAGAAAAAAAGAAATAAAAAATAACAAACGGTGCATGGTGCTCACCATGCACCGGTTGCACGGTATAGGCACTGCACTCACCAGGCTTTAGTTTGTTTTTTAGCTGCCAGGATGCTTTACTTGATTTTTCTTCTTCTTTTTTCTTTATTTTCTCATGACCTTTTTCATTAATTTTAATTGATAAAAATGTGCAATATAAAATATGATTTTATGTCCCACCTTGCATCTTTTCTATTTTATTTTTCAAGTCGACCTTCCTTAATAATTTAAATATTTCTTTAAATTGTGCATCATACAATATTTTAGGTGTCAATGTTTTTTTTCTATTTTAATTTAAGATGAATATTTATTAGTTTATGAAATATTTTGTGTTATTCAATTGAGCTTTTGAATTTTTCAATGTTAACTTTGTAAATTAAATATGTTCATCTTGTACTGTTTTTATGCTCATTTTAAAATATCATATAAATGCATACTCCCTCCGATCCCAAATGAAATTCACACTTTCCTTTTTGGGTTGGTCCAAAATAAACTTCACACTTCTTCTCTCTTCCTTATTTGACAAATTATCTACATCAAAACAGTGTAAAACAGTGCAAAACAGTGTCAAACAGTGTCAAACAGTGTACTCTATAGTAAAGTCAAATTTATTTCCTTAATTTGTGTGAAGTCAAAGTGTGAATTTCATTTGGGAGCGGAGGGAGTATTTCAAAGTATCCTATTAGATTCGCATATGAGTTAGATTATATACACGGGAGCAGAGATCATGATACTCAATTGCATTCTTCTGAAACTCAATAGAGGATGTTTGATGTTCAATGAAAAATGTCTTGATGCTCAACTAACAAAACTTAAGATTTTCATATTATTGCTCATTTGGTAAGTTATGTATGCTCATTTGGTACTGGTGTTATGCCCATTTTGTAAGTTACATATGTTCATCTAGTATTGGTTTTATATTCATTTTAAAATGATCAATAAAAAAATACAGAAATATAAATTTGTATAGTGTGATTGATACTTAATTCAAAGATGGAATGTATAAAATGTTGAATAATACTCCGTATATTGTTACATATGTTAAATTCGGTGAGTATAAAACTTGAAAGGATTGAGCAAACAAGAATTTATACCTGAGCACACTACATAAATACACACTCAATATAGGGGTTTAGTGTTCAATGAAAATGTGTTGATACTCAACTAAAACAACTTATGATTTTCATATTAATGAAAAAGAAAGCGAATTACAATATATGAAGTTGATATCACAATACTCATTATTCAACTCTTAATGCTCAGTAGAATACGCCTGATGCTCGTTAAAAGTGTATTAATGTTCATCTAACGAAAACCGCGATTTTCACTGAAATTACGAAAATACCACCGTGTTTTAGTTGTGATATCAGCTTTCTTGTAATGACACGGTTCTCATTGTTAGACTCTTAATACTCATTAAAATTGAACTATTGCTCATTAACAGTACACTGTACACTAATGCTATTGAGCATAAACCAGTTTTAACATTAATTACAAAAATGCCACCGGCTGTACAGTGCTCACTGTACAGCCGGCTGTACGGTATAGGCACTCGTTTTTGTTTGGGGTTGAATTTAGACAATTTGGATGTTTTTTGCATTTTTATTTCGACAATGGTTTTGGGCTTACATAAATGTTATCTATTTAAACATACTCCGCATTAGAATTTATTGAAACTCAATTTAGAATTGTTGATATTTTTTAATACAAATTTGGCTCGCAGTTTGGCCCGTGAAACCCACTAAATGAGCTGGATCGCGGGTCGACCCGTTTAACTCATGGGTTAAGTGGTTAGGTTAGGATTGTAATTTTTTTTTTATTTGTCATTAAATTGGTTGGCCTGATTCAACCCACATAAAGTATAAGCCGTCATGATTCAAGTTGGATTGGACAGGGTTGGCAAAGAGACCCTAATTGTGTTTTTCATGAAGAGTTTGATAAGAAATTGATTACAAAGCATATGATGCTTGATGGGTCTCTCCAAAACCAACCCGTTTCTGCAAATAAAAAAACCACAAATTAAATGAGCAATGGACATTATTAATCAATATACATATATATATAAAAGAGGAACTTTTTAAGAGCATACAAAGTGGCACATAATCCTGTCATGTCATTATATATACTACCTCCGTCCCATAATTTACTTCCAAATAAAGTGGCACGCGGATTAAGAAAGTGAAAATTGTGTGGTGGAGAACGTTGTGCAGAGGAGAGAGAAATGACGTGAACCACAAATCCTTTTGTTTTTATTAGATTCTATTTTTGATTGCATATTGATATGGAAACAAAAATCCTTATAAATCCACCTTAATTAATTTGGTAAGCTTCAAATAAGTAAAATAATTTTTGGTTATCAAAGTGAAATTCTAATAACGTTTATTGATATGGAAACTAATTTATATTAGTTTACTACACCGAATTAAATAGAAACAAACATGCAAATTAGTTTACTTATTAATTTGACACCTATTAATAAATTAGTAAGCTTCAAATAAGTAAATAATTAAAAAAGAAATTAAAAATTATAACCAACATAAAGTATATATATTTTCACAAGTAAATATGTTTAGCTTAGCCAAATAAGTTATTTTTTTTTGTTGTTTCTTTATTTTACACCTAAAATTCAAATATGCCTTCACTTTTGAAATAGATTCCTAATCCAAATTAGAAAATCTTTATAGGTTTACAAATTCCTACTTTTATTTTAATAGAATGTTTTTAATTGGATTGATTTCAGTTCCAGATTAAATTAGATCAGATCAAACTTTAATAATTATAACAATAAGTCACATAAAAAACAGACATCTAATAGACCATATTAATTCATACCAAATCAAACCCGAAATTTTAATTCAATTAAAAACGTTCTTATTAATGAGTAAAGTGTAAGATCTAACAATTAAGAAATATAGAATTTTTTTATTATTGGGTTCATAACAATTATGTTTACTTGAGATGCTTATGTAGAAGACCAATTTAACTTTTTTTCATATATTTTTTTCTTTGTTTCACAAATGGAATATATTTTACATATATTTTTCATGATTCAGAAGATCCCACCTATTTAACCAGAATTCAATCAATTTCAGCAAAATAAGTTAATTCTATTTACTTTAGTATTATCAAACAGACTCTATATTAGTGATGGAGTATATGGGTCTGAGCCCCCGGACCCACATACTCGGAAGAACAGAAAGCACAAGACAACAGAGTGGCGCCCTCGTCGGCCAAGACGCCCCCGTCGGCCGAAAAGGGGCCAACTCAGATTATGGTCCTGAGCCCAAGGAACCCGGGTGCCCTCGTCGGCCGCGCCCTCGTCGGCCGTGCCCTCGTCGGCCACGCCCTCGTCGGCCACGAAGACCTCCCAGAATCGGATTTTATACTTATTCATTTGTACAGCCCATTAGTGGCTTTGTATTCGGCCCAGTAGCGGTCCAGTTGTAAATGGGCCTCCCAAGCCCAAGGCTTGGGAGCCCAACCCTAATTTTCTCTATAAATACTCCCTTTGGGAGTAGTTATAGGGGTTACGAAATCATTCTATTGAAGCATATTATTGCACTTCTCTCTCTAGCTCTCACTTCTCTCTAGATATACTCTATCATTTGGTGCTCTCGTTGAGAGCTAGAACAATCAAGTTAGCACCCTTCGTCGCTGCCAAGCACAGCTAACCACTGATCATGGGGAGAACTAAGTCAAACCGCAACCTCGTCAGCAAAGTCATCCCTGAGGACCAAGAGCCCAGGGAGCACGATGAGGACGCCACGGCCGACCAGGCCGGCGGAGGGGATCTCTTCCAGGAGGCCTTCAACCTCACAACGGACCTCCGCAACCAACTCAACGGCGGCGCCCCTGATGCCCGCCTCGGCTTGGACAAGAAGCGAGCTGAAAAGACGGATCACGCCCCGGCCCAGCCTATGGCCGCGGCCTCTCCGTCCGTAGATCCTCAGGTCCAGGCCGCACTATCGGCTATCATCGCCAGCTTGGCTCAGAACCCCACCGTCCTCAGCGCACTCTTGCCAAGGACTGGGGGGAACGTCACTCAACCTCCTCAACCCCAACCGTTGGCCGTCCAGATTGGCAACGATGAGGGGGTGGTGCCCCAGGACACGGCGTCGTCCCACTCCCACCCTGCTTCCCCTCTTCGGCCCGGGCAGACCCCAGCGCGTGGAAAAGCCTCTGCCTTCAATAGGCTAGGTAACACGCGCCGTCGTCCGGTTTCGGAGAGGATGGCGGGACGGATTGGTGATCCTCGTCCTGGCTCGCCAAGGGAAAGCTTGGGGTCTGTGTCCCGGACAGCGGACCAGCCCCGCCCGGACAAGGGCAAGGGGAAGTTGCACGAGGATGACGTGCGTCACCAGATCAACGCGGCTCACAACGAGCGCCTGAGGAACCAGCCGGGTGCCGCCGCGGCCGACA